GCACGCAGCACGCACCGTCCCCGTGACGTCATGACGTCAAGCTAAAATAAAAGTCTCTCTCGTTCAAGAGCAAAAGTTGTTTAAATCTTCATTATGTCTTCTGTTATGTCCTCTTCAATTCAAATCGTTAGTTTCGTCCCTTAGACTTAAACACAATAATAAAAAATATCAGATCTCTTCATGATTTTATTTAAACGTGTGATTTAATTTCAATACTATTGTATTTGTGAATAAAATAAAATGAAAAATAAGTATTTCTTTAACATATCATAATATATAACATATATATCACAATATATATTACATTTATTTCCAACATCTTAATACTGAAGAAAATAAAAAATTAAATTGAGTTAAAATTTAAGAAAATATGTTATTTTGATCATGTCTGCAATAGTTTACTAACCAAATAACTCCCGCAACTAAAAAGCATCAGATTTAATTGTCTTCTAATTTTTTTCATTATTTAATCTACAATAACCTATTGTCAAGGAAGCCAACTCCAAATTATGCTCCAAACTGTGGGCGGCGTGACTCTATTAATATCTTTTAAGCTTATAAAACACATTACATGTTTCTGTTCTTACCAGCAGTCAGCCAAAGGGTACTTTTTTGGATTCAACGTAAACTAATCTACATCTTTATGTAACCAAATTTTAAAAAATGATGAGCAGTCTTAAAGAAAAAAATTAAATGACTAACTTGTAAGACCAGTCTAAACCTTTTATGCAACTGGCCCCAGGTCTATATGGTCTAAAACACAACTATCTGTTATAAATATTCTGTCAGAAAAGTAATATAAAGATCATACAAAGTAACATTTATCTTTAGCAACATCATTATCATGTACCTGCTGTTCACTTTAATAATAATAATATTATATATGTGTGTGTGTGTGTGAGTGTGTGTGCGAGTGAGTGTGTGTGTGTGTGTGTGAGAGAGTGTGTGTGTGAGTGTGTGTGTGTGTGAGAGAGTGTGTGTGTGAGTGTGTGTGTGTGTGAGAGAGTGTGTGTGTGAGTGTGTGTGTGTGTGAGAGAGTGTGTGTGTGAGTGTGTGTGTGTGTGAGAGAGTGTGTGTGTGAGTGTGTGTGTGTGTGAGAGAGTGTGTGTGTGTACGTGCGAGTGTGTGTGTGAGTGTGAGTGTGTGAGTGTGTGTGTGTGGGTTCAATACACATCATGAACACGAAGATGTGTGTTTTTTAGTTTACTTCAAAGAGAGCATCTTTAAAAAGCTGTTTTTGTTGGACAAAAAATAAATAAAATCTCAAAATATACCAAAAAATATGCATTTTCAAATTCTTCTGCATTAATACAGATCTAGCCTGAACTAACCCTTTAACCCAAGCACATGAACACTGACTGGTCTGAGAAGTAATATGCAAGTCAACTGAAGTAAATAACTAAAGGTTGACTCCACCTTTAAAATGTACTGTCAGGTTAACAATGTTTTAAGGCAGCAGGGCAACAAAGACGGACTTTTACAGTGCAGATAGTTCTGTGAAAGGTTTCGTTACTATAACTGGAAACAAAAAACACATTAAAATAAGGTTTACTCTGCCATTCTCATGTCAAAGCCATTAAACCCGGCAATGTTATGAATCAGACTCACTGTATTGGTTTAATTGCCATTTTAGTGTCCATATGAATCAAATATGCCTTCAAATGTTTTGAAATGCCAGGCACTTCACAATATTCATCAAAAGATATTAATAAGGGCATTTGTCTGGAATAAAAACAAGACTGCAAGGGATAGAAGTAGCCTACAGTGTGTTTAATAGTTTGTGTTCAACGTGGCAATTGTTCAGCTCAACATCGAAGCAAAGCATTTTCGACAGAAAGCAGAAATCTGACCTCACACACATTCCTGTCCCTCAGAAGAAGCGACTATAAACCAGTGGAAAGGTTCTTCATCCAGCGGCTCTGACTCAAACACGCTTCAGGTGTAAACACGAGTCGATCCGACGCTGATATTAATTCGGATCACTGACGCTACACACACACACACAATTCACACTTACACAATCTACCCGTTTATATCTTTACCAGCAGTCACTCTGAACACACACCTGAGAGCAGCTCTCGAAGCGAGCATGATTCCTAAATCCGCGTTTCTCCTCTGCTTACTGCTCGGTAAGTTCTGTTCTTTTTAAATGGCATCTGATCTAGTTTTTGCACGTCTGCTGTAAGTGTTCAGTTTGAAGTAATACGGTTTCTTGTATTTAAACATGATCTCTTTCCATGCATTCAACAAGAAAAACTGTTCCTCATCTTTGTCTTTTTTTTAATAATGACATCAATCAAATGTTGCGCATGGCTGTGTAAGGTGGAGCTTATTAGAAAGTTTGAGCCAGATCTTGTTTAAAAATCAAATGTTCTCAGCTTGGATTAAGTTAGCAGTGCATGCAATGATTTCTTAACCTTGCTGTTATGTGCACATTTCAATCATGTTTTTAATGTGTGGGGTCAAATTGCCGCCAAAAATTTATATATAGCAATAAATTACTCAAATTGACTATCATTTATTTTTGTTTGTATTTACTTGCAATTTACCCACCTGATATTTTAAATACATTTTTAGAACAAAGCATAACTTTATTTATTTATTTAATTGCTTAATTTAATTTTCTTTAGACAGAGAATGACAGTAAAACCTGACATTTTTGACTTTGTGGGGAGATTTAGTTGATCCTCATGAGGAAAACCGCTTGTTTTTTGGAAATGTAAAAATGCTAAATGTTTTGCGTGATGATTAGGGGAATGAAAATACAGTTTGCACAGTATAAAAACGAGTATGTCTATGGAAAGTCTTCATATAATATGGAAACCCAACAAGAATAATTTTTGATAGATGCTTGTAAAAATGTATGTACAGTGCTTGTAAACACATAATTGTATGAAATAGTAGATAAAAGATCTGCCTTCATATGCAGTGCAGTAATAGTAAAATATAAATTGATGCCAATGCATAAATGATATTTACTCATTAGATATTTAGTCATGAGAGGCAATAGAGAGATTCATCAGGAAAAGGTAAAACACAACAGAAAATTATTCTGCATATAATGTTTAATCTTTTTTTTTTTTTTTTTCACCAAAATGTGCACAGGCATTTTAAAAACTTTGTAACACAAGACGTGCATGTTATTATGAATACATTTAGCAAAAGTCAGAAAGATTCAAAAAATATAATGATCATATTTTTGTTTTTAGCGAAGTCAAAGTTGCTTTAGGCTCCGTTTGTCCCCAGGCTTCACAGCTGAGCATCTGATGGATGAGGCTGTTTGTGTTTCTCAGGTGTGTTCGGCGCAGACACAGATAACACTGAGACCGTGAGGGTTATGCTGGGAGATTCGCTCACTCTGCACACAGACATTGGCACGGTTCGGAGAGACGATCACATCGTGTGGGTGTTTGGACCTGACAGTCCAGACAGCCAGATAGCAGAGCTCATGAAATGGTCCTACATGTTCTCTGTATTTGTGAGTGGAAAGATGCCGTTTAGAGACAAACTGCAACTGAACCATCAGACCGGATCGCTGACCATTAAAAACACCAAATCTGAACACTCTGGACTTTATAAGTTAACAATCATCCATGACAGAAAGACCTCCCGCAAGAGGTTTGATGTTAAAGTCTATGGTAAGAAAAAAAAATAATGTGACCCTGGAGCACAAAACCAGTCACAAGGGTAAATTTTTTTAAATTGAGATTTATGCATCAGCTGAAATCTGAATAAATGAGCTTTCCATTGATGTATGGTTTGTTAGGATAGGACAATATTTGAAAATCTGGAATCTGAGGGTGCAAAAAAATCTAAATATTGAGAAAACCACCTTTAAAGTTGTTCAAATGAAGTTCTTAGCAATGCATATTACCAATCAAAAATTAAGTTTTGATATATTTACGGTAGGAAATTTACAAAATATCTTCATGGAACATGATCTTAACTTAATATCCTAATGATTTTTGGCCTAAAAGAAAAGTGGATAATTTTGACCCATACAATGTATTGTTGGCTATTGCTACAAATATACCCCAGCGACTGCGTTTGTGCTGCAGCGTCACATGTTTTAGATGTCCAAAGCTGTAACTGTGCTATGTTTTAGTGTTTTTCGAGACTCTGGTTGATGGGTTTGCTGTCTGAGATTGTTCTATGTATTGCAGCTCCTCTCTCGGCTCCCGTCATCAGCGCTGGCTCCTCACAGAACTCGACAGCATCAGAACGATCTGCGGGTCCAGCGTGTGTCCTGGTGTGTTCTGTGAGCAATGCGTCTCGAGCGACTCTGTCCTTCTTTAAGGGCAGTGATTTAGTGTCCAGCGTCAGCGGCTCTGACTTCAGCAGCTCTCTCTCTCTGCCTCTGGATGTGGAGTATCACGATGAAAACACCTACAGCTGCGTGGTCAGTAACTCCATCAGCAACCACACCACGCTCTTTAACATCACCGATCTCTGCCAGCCGCCTCCAGGTGCGTCTGCTTTATTCTGTGCTGTTCCTACATGACTGACTCCGCTCAGACTGGGCTGTAATGTAAGCATTGGTGATGTTGTGCACGACATTTAAAGGCATAATTCAACCCAAAATTAAAGTTCTGTCATCATTTCCTCACCCTTATGCTGTTTTATATGCAAAAGAAGATATTTGAAGAATATGCCTGTACAATCTAGCTTTAGTCAGTAAGGTATTTTCTTTAACAATGTGAGATTAGAAGAATAACAAAGTGCAGTAAACAATGCCCCTTAGCTGTTATAAATTCACTGTAAACCACGACTTCACGGGGCTTATTGCTTTTATAAAATGGTTATTCCATATATGTAGTAAGGTTTCACAGAATAAAACAGAGCAAATAAAGTGTAATGATATTAATAAAAACAGTATTCTTCCACCAAACAATGTAGCTCCTCAGAATCAGTTGTGGTTGCAACAAAGTGGTTGCCGAGCAACAGACAAACGTAAACAAAGGTGTATGTTACTTTGTAGAGTTATTTACAACAGCTTCGAACGCGGCTCAGCCAATCAGAATCAAGCACCGGAACTATCCGTTTTATAAAAAATTATTTGTGCTACACACCAGTGTGTTTATGATTATGATAATGAATTAAATGAGTGTGATGGCAAATACCAGACTGCAGTATCGAGCAGCATAACGGACTGTTTTTGAAGCTGTTTTTGGCCACTGAAAATGTGTACAATTTACTCGCACTGAAATCCATATGTCTTTGGAAATGAACCATAGAGGGACTTAAAAATTAAGATACCAAAGGAAAAGTTTGTTAAGAAACAAAAGCTAAAAGGATATGAAATTCCTGACATTAAACATCAGAAAAAAGTGTTTTTTGCCTTTTTTAAACAGTCGCCATTGGCATATAATGCAACAAAGATTGCTAAAGTCAACAGATTTCACTAATAGAGCTACTAAACTGCAGCATTTATTTGAAATAGAAATATTTTGTCACATTATCACACTTTTTTTTTTAATAGATTTAATGCATATTCTAATATTAATTAATTCTGAAAAAAATGATTTTGCCAAAAAATAATTTTTTCGTTTGTCTTGACATTTGGTGTTTGTTTTGACAGCGGATGAAAATTGCTAGCGCTAGAGAACTGTGAAGATGAAATAAAGAGCCTCAAGAGAAGATGATGCTGAAGCACCTGCTAGTGTTTACCTGAGAAACTAATTAAGAACTGTGTTTTAATAGAATATTTGATGTATTTATTGAGTGTTTTGTCAGCATCGCGCAGCATGTCCATGATGAAAATGATGGTCTGATGCAAACTGTTTTTACAAAATCCTTCAGTTGATCTGAACGTTGGTCTCTCAATGCTGCTAGCTGAAGAAGTAAAGCAGCGTGGTTTGTTATATTGCACTTCTGTGATGATGCTGGAACATTGCTGTGAAGGGAAACTTGACTGAAGATGTTTTAATCCTCACTTAAACATATAAACTTGTTTGTGTTTTATTAAGATTGTAGCGGTTGCAGTAGCTGCTCTTGTTCAGAAGGAAAAACATTTGTCAGTTTATCATTCTCAGTCTATATTTCCATTGTAATCTTGGATTTGTTTTAAATAAATTACTTTAAAAAAAAAAAAAAAAAATCTGTTTTGTCATTTGACAGTGTTTTTGTAGAGGAGTGTGATACTCAGACTTCCATGTAATACGTTTAAGCCTTTTAGCATCAAAAAAAAAAAGAAGAGAAAAAAAGGTTAGGATAGAGTTTAATTTTATTTGTGTTTATCGAGCTACTTGTACTAATAAGCTGCACAATGCAAAAATGTATCTGTTACAATAACACAAATTATTATCGGAGTAGATTACATGTGCACTGGAGCAGAATTACATGTCTTTGTGTATCTTGTTTTATGTATTTGTTAATATGAAAGATACAATTCCATATTTGAACACAATTCCAGTAGGCGGCGCTACCGCCAGCAGGTTTCCCGTCAAAAGCGCCGAAGAAGACATTAGACATGGCGGCGTCCTGTGCGGCACTCATGCGGGTTCGCGCACTGGTCACTTTAAGGAGAAAAACTCTAGAAGTTAATAAAGACATCTGGTCAAACTGGACGTCTGTGTGTCATTATAGGACTAAAGTTGGTGTCACACATAAACATCGGCGCTCTCCGCCGGAAACGGATCACAAAGGTAAGACTCGTGAGAACACAGACACATCACGCAGCAGACTAATGGGTGTCGAGACGAGCGCTTTATCATCTCACGTGTGCGTACAGGTCGTCCTGATCTTCTTCTCGAGTTTCCCCAGCCGAAGAACCTCCTGTTCGCCACACTGTCCAAATCTCTGGGTCTGTCCGATCTGTCCCAGTACATCCAGTACAGCTGCACCGATGGAGAAGTCAAGGTTAGATGCGTCTGAAGAGATCATTCAGAGAATCGGTGTATTCTATAGCTTGATCGAATGTTACTCTGTGGTTATGGTATGCCGTTTTATTTCTCGTGCACTTGACCTTTTTATACTGTGTTGGATGTGTTTTGTTAGAGAGCGACAGTCACGCTTCACTGGCCCGAGAGGATCGAGACCGAGGGCTTCGGGTCGCGGAAGGTGGAGGCGGAGCGTCACGCGGCAGCCGCGGCTCTCTGTAAACTCCGAGTAAGACTGTTGTGTGTGATACGCTTAAAGGAACAGTTCAACCCAACATTAACATTTGCTTAATATATGCTGACCCTGAGGTCATCCGAGATGTAGATGAGTTTGTTTCTTCATCAGGTTTGTAGAAATGTAGCATTGCATCAGTGTCTCATCAATGGATGCTCTGCAGTGAATGGGTGCCGTCAGAATGATACAGAGTGCCGTCAGAATGAGTCCAAACAGCTGATAAAAACATCACAATAATCCACAAGTAATCCACACCACTCCAGTCCACCAGTTAACATCTGGAGAAGACAAAAACTAAAATACTTAAACTAAAATACGAGTCCATAATCCATAATAACGCTTCCTCCAGTGAAAAAGTGCATCTGCTGTTTTCTCTCACATTAAAATCCAGTCACGTATTTGTTTAGAGCTGTTTAAACGCTGCTTGATCTGTGCAGATTTCTCTCCTGATTCACACCAGCACACTTTTTCACTGGAGGAAGCGTTATTATGGATTATGAACTCGTATTTGAGTTAAAAACGTCTTAATGCTGGATTTGTTTCAGCTTTTGTCTTCTCCAGATGTTAACTGATGGACTGGAGTGCTGTGGATTATTGTGATGTTTTTATCAGCTGTTTGGACTCTCATTCTGACGGCACCCATTCACTGCAGTATTGGTGAGCAAGTGATGCAATGCTACATTTCTCCAAATCTGTTCCCATTGCATTCAATATCATTCATCTCTCGGTGAACTATATGGTGACTGAACTGTAGTTCAGTATTTTACCTGAAGATGAAAATGTAAATGTTGTTCCAAAATATGTCCCGATGTGACCGCCCTTCATTCTTGGAACACTAAAGAAGAAATTCTCAAGGCCGTGTTTTTCAGTTTTTACCATGTAATAATAACCATAAATGGAGACGCAAAAGCACCAGAAAAGTTTCATAAAACTTGTCCATACTACTTGTGTACTTTATTCCAAGTCTTTTAAAACCATGTCTTGATTCACTTAACCATTAAAATGTGAAATTTCACAAATAAGGTTTGTTTTCTGTGCTGTTTACAAAAAATTATAGATTATTAGACCACTATTTGAATGTTTAGCAATCTTGTAAATTCTGCATTGTGTTTTTAGGAGCTGGGAGTCCTCAGTCAAGGAACGCAACCATCTGTAACAGGAATGACGAGACGGAAAGGGAGGCAGACGTCTGTCTGGGAAGATGAAGATGATGTGGCGGTCCATGATCGTCTTAAATATCTGCCGTTCCAGAAGAAAACCCAGAAGGAAAGAGCCCAAGGGTAGGCTAATACTCTGCCATAATACTGCAGCCGAGTTTATTTTAAGTTTGTCATTCCAGTCATATACAAGTGTGTTGGGTAATAAAATGCACAATAAGATTGTAGTCACCATATAATCAAATACTGGGCACATAGGTTGAAAACAGTAAACACAATGTGCCAAAAAATAAATATGAAATATTAGCTGATGACAAATATGTAGTGTAATGTACATTGGAATAGATCACAGACAAAATACGTTTGCAAGGATGTGCGCTTGGTTGTTGGATATATTAAAGATGTTATCAGTAATGTCAGCTTGTTGTTAGTTATGTTGTAATCAAAAGCAATGTGCCTGATTAATAAGTCCTAGTGATTTTTATGTATGTTAAAAAGTGGATGGGGCCAAGGAGCGAGCCCTGAGGTACCCCATTTGTTAATTTGTATGACTTGAGTCATATCAGTAATTGCTTCAGTAACAGTATAAGTTTCTCTCTTATGTTGAACACAAAAGAAGATATTTTGAAGAACCAAACAGTTGTTGGTTCCCATCGATTTCCATAGTAGGGAAAGAAATACTATGGGAGTCAATGGGGACCATCAGCTATTTGGTTACCAGCATTCTTCAAAATATTTTCTTTTATGTTCAACAGAAGAAAGAAACTCATTCAGGTTTGGAATGACATGAGGGTGAGTAAATGATGACAAAATGTTAATTTCTGGGTAAACTATTCTTTTAAAAAGTAAAAAAAAAGATCACAAAATCATGTAAACTTTTGAAATAGGCCTTTAATTATGCCATAAATCCTTGTGTAAATAAGCGTTAACGTATTTCTGCTAACTTCCACATTTAAAAAAAAAAAAGCCATCCATTGTTTAGAGAGATACAAGTGCAAGAAAGCCATGTTAACCAGAATGTTTCAATTTTCCTATTCATAAATAGAATATTTAAATAAATGTTGAACTGACTTTCTGAGAAGCGCGTTTGTAGGATCGAACTCACTGCTCCACCCTGAATGAACCATGATCTGAATGCATGCACTTTATCACCGAGGAGCCATGCATATTTATTTATTTTTTTCCAGTTTTCCATGTGCCCTTTCTGTACTTTCAACTTGATGCTTCCCAGTGATAAAGAAAAAAGTCAGCTTATTGTCTACACATCATTACTACACAGTGTAGATATATTCTGGAAATTGATGTCGTGCGTAGACAAAGTGGTAAACGAGAGCTTGTGTGGTAGGAGTCAAGAGCAGACAGGAATACCTATAGTATGATTCAATATCATCCTTTCGTATAAATATGACATGCTGTTTGATATCTTTGTTTGTGCATTTGGCATGATCTGCATCTGTATCTGATGTTTGATGTGCTATAGGCCCATAGAAGAGGATCCAGCAGTGATCGAGGCGCTCTCCGTATTTCCAAAGCCAAAGGCACTTCTTGGCAGCATCATTCAGGTGGCCACATCATCCAATAGAGTCAGAGTAAGTTATAAACATTACTGATCAGCACACACATCTGACAGATAGACATCGATTTCCTTTTTTCTCCTGTTGCTTTTCATCCCTATGTGTTTCTGTTTCTCTGTTCTCCCGTGTAGGAGCTGCTTCAGTACAGAACTACCGGTGGTAAGGTAAAGACGTGTGAGTTGACCGTACGCTGGCCCGAGGAGATGACCTTTACCGCTGATGGCCGTCGCAGACTGGAGGCGGAGTCAAACGCAGCAGCACTGGCTTGTCTCCGGTTTAAGGTTGGGTTGAAAACATGCACATACATTTCTTTAGGGAACTGGCTCACGAGAGTCATTTGTTCTCGAATCAGACAACACAGGTCGTGCTATGCTTATTTTTGCATGTCGTTGCTGAAGGAAACACAAGTGTAATCTGTGCCACACTGGTTGTGCATCATGTCAGAAATATATTAATACAAGTTATGTGCACCAACAAACTTGTTAACTGAATTTGAATGAACTTATTGCTGGGGTGTAAGTAAATGCACCATCATCAAACTTTGTGAAAACCTATTTTTTCACTCTGCAAACCACAATTTGAGAAGCGCTGCTCTAGAATATCCCTGTGCTCTAAAACCACCTATTTCTGGCGAGAAATCCTCCTGTTGTGTTTAAAATCTCGGTACTCCTTTTGTGTCGATGTCAAATTGGTTTCCGTGCAGTTTGACACAAACCGTCTCTATGAAAAACACTAAAGAATCATGTAAAACCAGAAAACCTTTATTGTAAAAACTACAACTACAAACTACATCAGTTCACAGACTCTGAAACTCAAGATAGATGAAGAAACAGCAGATTCTCTTTGAATGCTTCATAAGACGAGTCTCAATTTCTTAAGCTATTGTGTATTTCAAATTTTAGAGTTCGACAGCCTACAAGAAAGGTTTTCTGTTTTGATAACTTTTTTATATATTGTTGACTTTTGGCAAATCGCATGGAACCCAATGGTCGGTTTGATCCCGACACAAACGATGTAACCAATATTTTGGCCATGTGTCTAAACTTTGCATGCACCTTCATAACCGTAAATGAGAAAACTTCATGCAATAAAAATCTAATTCTGTAGTTGTGAAGTAACTGCCGCTGTTGATAAGCCTTACTCTGTTTCAGTAGGAAGTACTGTGCTTGTCATCTAGCACCAGCACTGACTGCTTTTGTTCGGTCCACAGGAGCTGAAGCTTCTGGATGAGCAGAACAATCCTCTGACTCACGCCAGGTACCATCAGCAGGAGGTGCGTGAAGCTGGAGAGAGACACAGACGGCCCTGCCGCATCCAAATACCCACAGATCTAGAGCGCAGGGTTCAGGAGTACCTCACACAGGTGAAACACACACCATCTCACTCCGGACCCATGCTTCGGCCAATCAGAAGTACATAAAGGATTTTTCATAAATATGTGTGTTAGAATACGGATGGAGACATGATTTTTATTTGGATATTTGGCTTGTGCATGAACACTTAATTACAAGCATTACACTGAACTGAAAATAATGAGAATAATGTAAAAATGTCTAGTTAAACGGAAACTAGTGGTGTGCAATATTGACAAATAATTATCTCAATACTTTGGGGGGATTTTGATAACGATAATTCATATTTTGCTGAGTGTGTTTTTGTGCTGGTTTAGGCATGTCATGGATAAATAAATGACATTAAAACCGCCAGTAGGTGGCAGCAAGTGTGTGTCTTAATGAGTGATTAATTGAATCATTCATTCAAACGATTTGTTCAAAATGACTGATTCATTTAGAAGCGAAGCAAGCGACTGTCTGTATGAATGGAAATTTGAATCGCTGACTCAAATGAATGATTCATTCAAAAACGGATTCGTTCAGCAACAAAACACCGCACAAATGTTCTGATCCGGCTTTATTAGGAACTATTTTGATTGACGAAACAGAAAAAAAATGATGATATTGTGTCTAAAATGCATGCAACATATTTAATATTAACAAATTGTTTGTTAAACTGTTTTGTGAAAATCAATGTCGTATTTGCAGTCGAACTCAAGCAGTAATATTCAAGAAAACGCACTCTTGCTTGTGTTTCATAACGTGAATTAAATGGGCATTTTAACTGCATTCAGGTTTTTTTGCATATACTTGATAATGTTAGCTCGCACATCGTTGAAACGACAATTATGATATTATCATAGACGATAAATATCGCACACCCCTAACGGAAATGTTTAGAATGAAAAGGACACCTAGCTAATAAACAAGCAAAAAAATCCGGCAGTGCTGTAGAACTAAATACACTGTAATATTGATTTAATTGTTGAAACAGTTCATGACTGTTTGATATGTGTTTGTTTAGTATCCAGTGGAGGCTGAGGTTCAGAAACTGTGGGATGAAGAGGAGCAGCGGCCCGTTCATGATGATGATGATGATGATGATGACTTGATTACAGATGCTATCACCGGTAAGCGGTACCGTGCTTTACGCCATGAGGAGGCGGAGTCTCTCAGCGACCACCTGCTCAGCCTGTGGATGAGGGCGGGGCCTGGCAGAGGGGCGGAGCTTCCCGTGGACTCCTATAAAGAGAGCGTGCTGGAGGCGGTGAGGGCCTCACAGGTGGTTGTGATCGCAGGAGAGACGGGCTGCGGGAAGACCACACGGATCCCGCGCTTCTTGTTGGAGGGGCAGGTCAGGAGAGGAGAGGGGGCCGAGTGCAACATCCTGGTCACGCAGCCTCGCCGGATCAGCGCCGTGTCTGTGGCGCACCGTGTAGCGCAGGAGATGGGACCCGCTCTCCGTCACTGCGTGGGATACCAGGCAAGAACATACTAGAGCTTTCAGTCTGTTATTGTCTTATTGCTTTTGTTATATGATGCGCATGAATGTTTCATTATTTAATTTTTGCATGACTTCTCCAATGCTGTAGTCCGCATAAATCCCGCCCTCTTTCAGATCCGCCTCCATTTTTAAGGCCGACGCCCACATCTCAATATCCAATCAACTACTGATGGATAAAACCTAGTCCCTGGACACTTTTTCTTGTTTCATGCGGGTGCGCAACATATGGCAGAACAGATCTGCATTTCTCTGCGATTTTAAGATTTTTAAGAACATAAGCAAACAAAACATTTTGAACCAGTTTACAAATAAACCAAGGTCCGAACATTTGAAAATCATTCTTTTAAGTTTAAAGGCTCGTTCACACCACAACTAAAAATAAACCATGAAAAAACTGTGTTACTTGAGATAAAATAAATGTACTATAAAATTAAAACAAAAAATAATTAAAACGATGTAGACATAAAAAAAAAAAAAAACGGTTAAAAATCATAACACAAAATTACTGAAACTTTATCAAACATGGAAATAAAAACAGAAAATAACTCATTAAAACTATAATTAGGGATGTGCGATATCACTAGGGATGCACCGATATGAAAATTTTGGCCGATACCGATAATTCTTTATTTTTGAAAGTCGATAACCGATATGTTGGCCGATAAATCTATATCCAAATTTTTATATACTTTTTGAGAGCCTGATTACAAAACGTCTCATCATTAAAAGCCACATCCCAAACACTTCAACATAAGCAGCCTAGTTTGAACAGTGTACGTTTTAAAAATAATTTTACTCTCCCATTACCAAATTTCGTCATTAAAAAAGTCTTACAAATAAATAAAATAATGCATAAATAATGCAAACAAGTCACTGGACATCATTACACGTGTAAAGAATCAAAATGAATGCGCCATAGAACGCCATAGAATAAAACGTAATAGCCTCTGCACGGACAATAATTAAATGATTTTAATTACTAAACCATATTGTTGATGAAAATAATAAGAGAAAAATAAAAGTGGTTGTTATTATTAATAATGTATCAATGATTTTGAAAAAGTAACAAATTAATACCACTGTTTTAAATATGTGTGCTGAAGAGCTGAATGAACACGGTAAACTGAAGCGTTTTGCTGGCAGCTTATTTAACTCAAGGAAATGCATCCTGAGATTAATATTAATACAACATAAACCTAATATTACAACTTATGTACAAAATGACGCAGTTATTGCGTGCTATAGTCAGAATGTGTGATCCTGTTGTAGATGCGCTCTTCCCATAACAACGTGCTAAAAACTTTTTATTATAATAATGTTCTCATTAGAATGTTATATACACGACATTCCCAATCATAGTTATTAATGTTGTGCACTGCTGTTTGAGCTGCGTGCGCTGAGCTAAAGATGATCACCGGTAAACTGAAGCGCTCTTTTAACTTAACCAAACGCATTCTAGATGAGATAAATCAGATATACATCAAATAAACGCAATATTTCAACGTACAATTGCACAAAAGGCTGCAAACGAACAGCGCGCATCTGAAGTGTCTCTGAAGGAAATAATGCATTATTTATCGGCTTTAAGATATCGGCCAAATTTTCTTATCGGGCCGATACAGATAACAGAAAAAATTAGCATTTATCGGCCGATACCGATAACAGAAAAAAATTGCATTTATCTACCGATAACAGAAAAAATTAGCATTTATCATCCGATACCGATAACAGAAAAAATTCGCATTTATCGTCCGATACCGATATATCGTGCATCCCTAGATACCACGAGTTTTGATTGTGGACGATAAAAGTGTCTCCACGATCTGCTTTATCGTAACTATTGTAGTATCGCGCATTGAAATGATATTTTTGCCCTTTCAACCACCCCTAACTATAAAAGTATCTCATTGATGGTAAAATAACACTGGTGTTGTTCAGATACTATTATAGTTATTCATATTGAGTTAGTTTTTTTTTTTTCTGTTTTCATTTTAGTTAAGTAATTGTTGTTTTTGTCATTTTTATATAGTTTTTATTATTTATTTCAGTTCTAGTGTATTTCAGTACATATTTTAGTATTTCTAACCTAAATGACAGTTTTTTTAAAAAACATTTACAGTATTTCAAGCAACAAAAGTTTTTTTTTTTTAAATGGTTTTAGTTAACTATAATAGCCCTGCCACAGAGCATATAATTTTATTAGCAATAATTTTGTTTATATTAGGGATGTAACGATTCACTCAACTCGCGATTTTTTTTTAAACAAAATTAGATTTAAGACAAATTATAAATTTAATGTCTTTTTATTATTGCTTGGACAAAATGCGGCACGTTTCTTAGTGAAATTTAAATATAACACTATAATAATATACCAATATAGCACTTGCATATTGTTGCTCTTTTGTTCGTTTTGATTGCTTCTATTGTCTTCATTTGTAAGTCGCTTTGGATAAAAGCATCTGCTAAATGATGAAATATTAATATAATGTAAATAACATAACTAAATTGAAATTTAAAAGCACAAATAAAAGAAATCTCTTCATATAAACAAAATAAGGCTTTGTCTGTAGGCCTGTAATAATAAGTGCAGGCACTGATAATATTACATGTTTATTTCTTGGTAATGCGCATTTGACAGGAGTTGAGATGCATACAAAATTTACTTATTTTAGCAACGGTAATGTGCGAAATCTAATTTTATATGGAAATTTTGTATATTTCACTCTTATTAAAAGCACCAATATTCTTCTGTAGTGTTATACTGAACTGACTGACGTCTGATTGTTGTGTTTTGTCAATGCACTTTGACTTTCATAAACAAAAAAGGCCAAAACTTTGACAAAATTTGATTTCTTGTTGATTTGATGTTTATAAAATTAAAAGCATAAATATAAAGCAAAAAAATGACTGTCAATAAGTGGTTCTCTGCTGCCATCTGCTGGTTACAGTGGTGATTTAATGTATTTTTACATTTTGCACAAGTGTTTGTCTACCACAAAGTATATTTTGGTCATCCCATTGAAAACAACATTTAAAGTGGATAATTTTTAGAGCTTTAAAGTGCTGGAAATAGTTGTGTGAAATACTTGAAAAGAGCTTGAATTTCTCTCTCAAGAGGTTGTACAAACCCTGAAATGAATGATGTAATAACATTCGACTCTTTCTGACACAACACAATGGTTATAGTTAGCATTACTACTTCTGGTTTTCCACGTCAGCTCTGTTTGATCTGTTTATAATGGAGAATTCAGTGTGTTATTCAAACGTTTCTCTCTGGATCTTGCAGCACTGTGCAGTAAAAGTGTCGTGAGAGTCCAAACAGCTGATAAAAACATCACAATAATCCACAGCACTCCAGTCCATCAGTTCACATCTGGACAAGACAAAAGCTGAAACAAATCCAGCATTAAGACGTTTTTAGAGATCCTGCGCACTCCTCTGGAGAGCGTCATCATACAGGCCAAGATCCACTGTCCCCACAGCAAAGTGAGCGAAAGAGTCTCCTGTGTTTAACTGCTTCGATCTGCTTGCTTTAAATTCAGGAACGAGGCTCACTTTGGACAGTTCTCTGCGTTAAGATCAGTTTATGATTTTATTCATGTTATTATTTGAACACGTTGTTCTTCTTCTTGCAGGCTGTGGACTTCCTGGCACAAGTGCTGGATTCCCCGGATAGTCAAGCAGTCAGAGTCGCTGTGAAGAACCTGATGGATATTGGTAAGTGTGTTTCATTTTTTAGAAAGTAGTATCTATTTATTGGTTTATTTTGTAATGCATATATTCAGTTTGAAATGATACAGGCTTCATTCTGTCCTGTGCCTCAACTAAAGACTGATCAAAACAGACTGAACCAACAAAATATGGTTTAAATGCGTACAGTGACTTGAAATGCAAGCGTACGCAATACTTCAGCAACTGAAACAGGCGCTTTACCAAATGAAATGAAGGATGATGTAACAGTGTTTCCTTAATAATACTTTAATTTTAAACAATGCCAATTTTCAGCAGTATTTTTGAAATGTATAAAAATAGAAACTACTGCTCTTTATTGTTAATATATTATACTTCTTTTGAACTGTATTTCTCCATTGCGCTTGCATTAAGGACAGCTTCATTTATTATAATAGACGTTTACACACACTTTCTGTCCACTGAACACCGTAAGGACCGCTTCATACTAAATGTGTTCTGCCTTCTGCACCCGCTTCAGTTGTTTTTCCATGTAAGCTTGTGCAAGACAGAAATATCTGTGCTGCATCACAGCATCTCATGC